TCTGGTTGTTACATTTTGCCTTCATTCGTTCATTAGGCTATGCATTCTGCAAATGTATGTTTTTCCCATATAAAAAAAACGATCATGATTGCTTAGATTTGATCTCTTCAGCATCATTGTATTAACATTTTGCACCACTGATTTGACTCTTGACAATAGTTCCATTGTTGATATGTGGATTCTAACTCTTTGTTCCACCTGTAACCAAACACCTGAGAATGTTAAATAGTCCAGCTCTCCCTCCAGTTTCCAAATGGCACATGAATGTAAAACAACTTTCCTTCTCTCTCCTCTGTTTGGGAATATGGAGTGGCAGATAACGGTATTAGTCAAATAACCAAGATAAAAACTGCCTTGAACAATTGTTCAAAAATCAGATTATACTTATCGTAAAATACTTTCAGTGGAGGGTCGGGTGAGGACAACTCTGACAATAGTGTTACCATAGAGACTGTTACAGTCCCAGTTGACAACATGGACCTGGCTCTGGGCTAGTCAGAGTCAGGTGTAACATGGCTGCCCTCTAGGCCACTGAAATAGGTCAACTGGTTTGATTAATAGTTCAGGAGGGTCAGGGGTCAGTGGACCGCTCCGGCCCTCCCTGTTGTGGACTCATGGGAGCCGACCCTCGGACGAGGGGCCAGCCAATCACAGAGTATTCCATCAGTGACTCTGTTTGGAAGCCTGTGTATTTGCTGCTCGACTCAGAATGAGTCATGTAAGTAAATGTCACAAGTGGCATTCCAAAACACCCAATAGGTGAAAAATGCCAATTTCTAATTAACACACATTATGAATTAAAGTGTAGGGACTTATAAATGGGTCGAGTAAACATTGATTTTCCATTATGTTGAATATGAAATCCATGAAAACATACTGTATTCATTATGAATCAACCATGCAATCCAAAATGTAGATTTCACATGATACATTTTCTGTGCGAACAATGGAATCACAAACCCTGTCAGGAAATGCCTGATGAAATTTGAATTTACATTTTAGTCATTTAGCAGACGCTCTTATCCAGAGCGACTTACAGTTAGTGAATATTTTTTTATTTTTATATACTGGCCCCCCCGTGGGAATAGAACCCACAACCCTGGCGTTGCAAACGCCATGCTCTATCAACTGAGCTACATCCCTGCCGGCCATTCCCTCCCCTACCCTGGACAAATTGTGCGCCGCCCATGAGTCTCCCGGTCGTGGCCGGCTGCGACAGAGCCTGGATTCGAACCAGGATCTCTAGTGGCACAGTTAGCACTGCGATGCAGTGCCTTAGACCACTGCGCCACTCAGGAGCCTCAATTTGTAATGTGATAATTGAATAGGCCTACCTAAATGACAAATCCGTTCTTTACTCTCGAATGTCGGCCTACACACCTTTGTATGGAATTATAATGTTGATCATTACTTTAAAGTTGTCAAAGAATAACTATGTTTGCCATTTATAACATAAGGCTAAGCTAAAAACAGAAAAACATGGTTCAACCTATGAAAACCAACACCAGTCAGGATCTGATCCAAAAACACAACACACAGCGAAAAGGATTACAGTAAGGAACTTGACTGAGGATAACCTGAATGCGGTTTCCAGTTACACCTTTTGATAACCATTCAGCTGTGTAACACACTGTATCGTGTTCCAGCTCTGGCTTAGTGTATCAACACAACTCCCAGCATCTGGTGAAGGGTGGAGCTGTCATAGCTGTCTCATCAAATACACACACCAATGACAGAGGCAGGTTGGATCATCTTAGGCCTCAGAATAGGGACAATACCGTAGCACTGTGGCTATCCCCTCTTTGTAATGGAAACATCTAGAATGTCAACACTACGGAACAGAACAGACAGGCCGTGCCAAATAAGGCTTTGATATTCTACTTGTAGAATGCACCTGTGCATCATTAGCAGTTCGTCATTGTTCCTGTCAGTTTTATGTGTTTGCACAGCTGCCTGACTTGACTGTTCTTTGGAAGGTGTATTGAACATTGTTGTATCTGAAAGGTAAAGCTTAAGTCTAGCCAGAATATTACTGTGGATAGATCTACAGTATAAAAGTTAGAGTAACATCTCAAACTGAGTGAATCAAAGGTGGATAGGCATAGCCTTTACATATTTTGTTTGCCCATAGTCCATAAAGATTTGCCTGCTTGTAAATCACACCTCTTTGTCTTTACATGCAAAAGACAGATCAGTGATTAAGAAACAGTATATATTTACCTCGTAAAAAATATGTTTTGGATTAGCGTCCTCTATGATAGTGTAATATAATGTCTGGCTATTACTGAGTACACTGTACTAGTGTATTTACCACTGAGGTAGCCTAAAGTCTACATGTGGAAAGGGGCTGGCTAAAGAGGGTCTGGAAGTAACCGGCCATAGACCTATTCTCCATGTCTAGGACTAGGTCTGTAAGTTGTCAATAGCTGAGGGAATGTAATCATACTCAACCACAAGTCATAAAACCTTCCAATGACAGGTGAGAAATCCTCAGATGTTGTTGATAAATATGTATCTATTTTTTTAAATTATTGCCAAGAAAGGGGGAGGTGGAGAAGAACAATACAGGAAGGTGTGTGCCAGGAACAGTCATCATATTAGCCCTACAATAATAGAAAAAGCACATGATGTAGAATTTAAAAAGCTTTGCAAAACGAGGCTCTCTCAATGCAGATGAGACAAGAATATCAGCATAGACCATACCGAATTATGCACCCCCCACCACCAGAACAAAATACGTTTTATTGTCACATACACACCAGATAGGTGTTTTACAGGGTCAGCCATTGTAATACGGCGCCTGGAGCAAATTAGCGTTTAAGAGCCTTGCTCAAGGGTACATCAACAGATGTTTCACGTTTCGGCTCGGTATTCGAACCAGTGCCCTTTCGGTTACTGGCCCAACGCTCGAACCGCTAGGCTGCCTGCCTGCATGAACAAGAGTAAATCCAGTTTCACAAAAATTGAAAAAGCTTTGCAAAACGAGGCTCTCTCAATGCAGATGAGACAAGAATATCAGCATAGACCATACAGAATTATACACCCCCCACCACCAAAATGGACACTTTAACTGTAAACAAGGCTGCAAAAACAACAAGGCTACTCTATCATTTCAAACTGCTTCTAGTCTGTCATCCATCCACAAGGGCCGCGTGCGGTGGGCGGGTGAACCACAGAATGGGGTAAATACATGTCTCGAGCATCGCGGGCTTTTCGCCCGCGAAATTCACTGAACTAACTCCTGAGGTAAACGGAACCAGGTAATCTCAATGGCTTTTCTAACAAATACTAACAGTAGGCCCTACTTGTTATGTATCTATTACCGGCATTTAATTTGACATCGTTTGTTATTCTGACCTTAGAGAAAATAGTTTTGCCTTACCTGGCTTTTAGCTTGCAAGGTGAGTCGTGGCAGGTAGTCTGGCAGGAAGCAGAGGGTCTCCAGAGTAGTTAACGTTAGCTAGCTAGCCAGTTGCCAATACTTATTTGGGGTGTTCCACTAAAAGTGTGCCTCTTGCGTCCCGTTGATATTTTAAGTAGAAATTGTGCACCTAGTATTGCATTTTTTAAAGCCTGTTATATGAATTGAAGTGCCCTTTAAAATAGACCACATGTACAATTCAATCAATTAGATTTTTAATATGAATAAAGGCTTGCTAAAACACAAAAATTCTGCATTTTTACATGCCCTCTGTCAACCCTGTCTCTTCTAGGAATATTTTAACCCATTTAATCCCAACATTTCTCCAATAGTTATTTTGTTGCTTTGACAAAGTAATTTCTGAAGATTATTATTTATTTCATGTGATTAGTGATTCATTTGATGTCTGTCCCTCATTTTAAGGTAAACCCTGTTTCATGAACTGATCTCTCTCGTTTTAATATTTTTTTACATTTACGTCATTTAGCAGACGCTCTTATCCAGAGCGACTTACAAATAGGTGCATTCACCTTATAGTCAGTGGGATCACCACTTTACAATGTATTTTTTATTTATTTATTTATTTTCATTTTTTTTTTGGGGGGGGGGGGGTCACGCCCTGGCTCTGGGACTCTGTTATGTTGAGCCAGGGTGTGTGGTTTCTATGTGTTTTGTGTGCTAGGGTTATTATCTAGTTCTTTTGTTTCTATGTTGGCCGGTGTGGTTCTCAATCAGAGGCAACGTGTATCAGCTGTTGCTTGTTGTCTCTGATTGGGAACCATACTTAGGCAGCCTGTTTTCCACAGTGTGTTGTGGGATCTTGTTCCGTGTATGGTTAGTGTTTGTAACCAAGGACGTTTCGTATCATTTGTTGTTTTGTTCGTGTGGTGAATTAATAAATAAGTATGTTCACTCATCACGCTGCGCATTGGTCCACTTCCTCCAGCGATCGTGACAGTGGGTTGGGGTAAGGGGGGGTAGAAGGATTACTTTATCCTATCCCAGGTATTCCTTAAAGAGGTGGGGTGATATGGTGAAACTAGTACTTTTAAAGTATTTTTTTCAAAAACAATGAACATCTAATAGTTAAATCATAGAGTAAAAGCAGGTGAGCTGGTTCTACTCTTTATGTACATTTTCTGGTGTTTTGTGGAGGAAAACTGAGCGGGTTGAGCGTAACAGTCAACCCTGTTACCCATAGACAGGCTATAAATGTTTTAACAATTATTAAGATTAGATTCATGGCTGATCTAAAAATAAATCGTCAACCCTGTTACGGTCAACCCTGTTACGATCAACCGTGTTACTTTATTTGGCACTTACTGTAGTCATTTTTGTATTTATCCTCTTGAGATGGGAAAAACATGTTTTTTATGAAGTTGAACATTTGTTATTTGTGACAATGTTAAAATTAGGTAAAATCAGAAGTTTGTTTTGGCAACGTTTCACTTCTCAAAAGGCAGCGAATTGGTGGAACGACCCATTTACTAACTCACACAGGTAGGATATCTGACAGGTGTGTTTTCTATTCATTTTATTTCAGCAACTTAGACCTTAGAACTGGATAAACATTTGGAAAATGGCATACAGCAGGCAAGCTAAGGACTTTGTAGCCATTTCTGGTTTACATCCAAACACAACACATCCGGTGAGTCACGTGATATGATTCAATTGTTACAGTAGCGTAACTTGTGGGTGGATACACCGTCATGATGATTCAACCAGTTTTGATATCTTGAAGTGAAATAAACTGTCAAGTCTACAACAATCATTTTGAATCATGACTGTTGTATTTATTAGGCTAAATTGGTTTGAAATATCTATTCTGTTTTTCAGAGAGTGGCCGGAGTCATCATTGGAAAAACTGATGTCAAAAGCTTTCCAGACAGGAAAAGTTGTGGATTGAATTTCATTATATTTCCCCCCATCATTTAATACTGTTGCATACTGGCATCAAATAGTCTACATACAAACGCCCAAGTATTAATGAAGTATCACTGGTATCAAATACAGCCTCTTGCCTCTGTCCTCCCCAAACATAGACTTATCCCCAAGGCTACACTGTAAATTTATGTCATACATTTTTCAAAACACAAAGCCCATTGGTTAAAACTGCATAAGAGTGCATTTTTGGCCTCTGTGATTGGTGCATTGACACACACCCTCGATAAACCTCATGTCCCAGTAGTCACAGATGAAAGGAGAAACCTTATAATAAATTATCTTTGGTATGTAGCCTACACTGGAGCCTACTGTGCTCAAGTTAATGTCTTGCTCACTAGAACCCTCTTCTGGCAGGTTTCTGAACTGAACTCTCTGTCGTTTCAGGTATTGGTTTTGACAGATTCACTTTCGGCTTCACAATCAAGGACTCGCCAGACTATTTTATTAATGTATCCTCGTGGGGCAACGATGGATACATCAATGGGCTCTCTAACAGCTTCAGCATCGGAGACTGTGGTAAGATTATGCATTCAATTCAATTATATGAAGATATAAAATAATACATCATGTAGAAACAATGTGTCTGTCTTTTTCATAATTACACTAATTTATCTGTATTTTACCCACGTTCAGTTATTATAGAAAATCCTTTAGTTGCTACCAAAGATCCTGAGAAAGAGGACAGATTCTGCCCCTCAACTCCCAGGTACGGTATAGTAAGTGGTTAGTTCTCTTTTAAACATGACTATACTCTAGTAATACAAGTAACAAAACCAATTTCTCTGTCTCAGCTTCTACAGGTTGCTGGTGAGTGAAGCTCACTCCCAGCTATCAATATGCTCTGACATAGAGATGATGAACAGGCTGCTGCCTCTACTCCACCTGCCTGTGAAGGACTCCAGGGACTTCTACTCTCTGGGAGACATCGTGGCCAACGGACAGAGCCTGGACGGGATCGTCATTAACATACTCGCCGCCGTTCGGTCGGTAAGATCTGAGAGTGCATAGAGTAAAGTAGGTCTTGAGGAGGGTAGTATCTGGGACACTAGTGTGACTTTGGACTATCATTGTGTAGTTGTATCTATTGATATAGGAGCCACAAACTAGACTCTATCGTCACATGTCCAGTGGCATAAGTACCATATGTATTGGAAAAGCTAAAAGCGTTTCCATAACACTATTCCTGCCCTCCAGATTGCAGAGCCAAAGTTTTTCACCACGGCGGACGGACGCAAAGGGCAGAGGCTGGAAGTGAAGCTCTTTGATGATTCTGTCACATCTTTTCCCTTAGTATGGTAGGAACTGTACCACTGTACCCCACGTCTTCAATATCCCCATCCTCTCCCCTGAGTAAACATAACCTCTGTATCACACAGCTGGGACAAAGAGGCCATTCAGCTAGTTCAGACTCTGATACCAAGAGAAACAGGTTGGTATACAGTGGGCTCTTATTCTTTGTGAAATGGAAATGTGAGATTTTGTGTTTGTTTTTAAATGTCGTTGACTGAATAAGACTTTTCTCTGTACTTTAAGTGCTCTTCATCTCAGACGCCAGGATTGGTTTTGACAGCTTCCGGAACTGCATGACAGCTACAGTCAATTCTAAAACCATAATCACCGTCAACCCGGGTAAGGATATCACTTTATTTGGATTGATCATATCTGTTTACAACACATGCTCCTTTTCTGCATTGAGAAACAGTAGACAATTGTTTTTCTAAGATAATATTTTAATTTTCACATTATTAATACAGTACCTAATACTGTAATTAATGTGATTCTGTTTTGAGATACATAAGATACGAAGGAAGCCAGCCTTCTGTTCAGCTATGTCAAAGAGGTCTCTGAGTCTGGTGTGTTGGATGAGGATGACAAGCCTGGAGATGTGCCTGGTAGGTAACAACTATGACTGTATAGTATTATCATACAGTTGAGACTTTGCAATCATGAGTTAGGCCAGAGAGGAAGAGGCGAAGCGAGAGGGTTTACTCCACCCAAAATCTGTTCACGAAAATAAGACCATGAAGTGAGGAATGTTTATAAGTCAATGAAAGAATTTCACATTTTTTAAACAAAAAATGTAATTGCTAATTTGCTACATGAGGTTTATTTGATCTAATAGAAGTTTGGCAATGGTTAGGTTGGTACGAATGCACACTGATATAAGTGGATGCACGTGGCATTTCGTCAACTTCTGAAAAAAACTACTTTAAATCGGAATGTTGCCTGTTGTTCACACGCGTATCTGCCCTCTCATTGGCTAGAATGGTCCCACCTGATCTCGCTTCCTCCCGCCTGCCTTCCATCTTTGAGGACATGTACAGTGCATTCTGAAAGTATTCAGACCCCTTGACTTTTTCCACATTTTTTGCGTTACAGCCTTATTCTAAAATGGATTACATTTTTTAAAATCCTTATGAATCCACACACAATACCCTGTAATGACGAAGCCAAAACAAAAAAAATTTGCACATGTATAAAAAAACAAAAACAGAAATACCTTTATTTACATAAGTATTCAGACCCTTTGCTGTGAGACTTGAAATTGAGCTCAGGTGCATCCTGTTTCCATTCATCATCCTTGAGATGTTTCTATAACTTGATCGGAGTCCACCTGTGGTAAATTCAATTGATTGGACATGATTTGGAAAGGCACACACCTGTCTATATAATGTTCCACAGCTGACAGTGCATATCAGAGCATAAACCAAGCCATGAGGTCGAAGGAATTGTCCGTACAGCTCCGAGACAGGATTCTGTTGAGGCACAGATCTGGGGAAGGGTACCCAAAAATGTCTGCAGCATTGAAGGTCCCCAAGAACACAGTGGCCTCCATCATTCTTAAATGGAAGAAGTTCGGAACCACCAAGACTCATCCTAGAGCTGGCTGCCCGGCCAAACTGAGCAATCGGGGGAGAAGGGCCTTGGTCAGGGAGGTGACCAAGAACCCGATGGTCACTCTGACATTGCTCCAGAGTTCCTCTGTGGAGATGGGAGAACCTTCCAGAAGGACAACCATCTCTGCAGCACTCTAGCAATCAGGCCTTTATGGTAGAGTGGCCAGATGGAAGCCACTGCTCAGTAAAAGGCACATGACAGCCCGCTTGGAGTTTGCCAAAAGGCACCTAAAGGACTCTCAGACCATGAGAAACAAGATTCTCTGGTCTGATGAAACCAAGATTGAACTCTTTGGCCTGAATGCCAAGCGTCACGTCTGGAGGAAACCTGGCACCATCCCTACGGTGAAGCATGGTGGTGACAGCATCATGCTGTGGGGATGTTTTTCAGCGGCAGGGACTGGGAGACTATTCAGGATCGAGGGAAAGATGAACGTAGCAAAGTACAGAGAGATCGTTGATGAAAACCTGCTCAAGAACTCAGACTGGGGCAAAGGTTCACCTTCCAACAGGACAACGACCCTAAGCACACAGCTAAGACAACGCAGGAGGGGCTTCGGGACAAGTCTCTGAATGTCCTTGAGTGGCCCAGCCAGAGGCCGGTCTTGAACCCGATCGAACATCTCTGGAAAGACCTGAAAATAGCTGTGCAATGACGATCCCCATCCAACCTGACAAAGCTTGAGAGGATCTGCAGAGAAGAATGGGAGAAACTCCCCAAATACAGGTGTGCCAAGCTTGTAGCGTCATACCCAAGAAGAGCATCCTGTCGGGCTGTATCACCGCCTGGTACGGCAACTGCACCGCCCGCAACCGCAGGGCTCTCCAGAGGGTGGTGCGGTCTGCTGAACGCATTACCGGGGGCAAACTACCTGCCCTCCAAGACACCTACAGCACCCGATGTCACAGGAAGGCCAAAAAGATCATCAAGGACATCAACCACCCGAGCCCCAGAAGGCGAGGTCAGGACAGGTGCATCAAAGCTTGGACCGAGAGAATGATAAACAGCTTCTATCTCAAGGCCATCAGACTGTTAAATAGCCATCACTAGCACATTAGAGCCTGCTGCTGCCTATTGAAATCACTGGCCACTTTAAGAAATGGAACACTAGTCACTTTAATAATGTTTACATATCTTGCACTACTCATCTCATATGTATATACTGCATTCTATTCTATAATATTCTACTGTATCTTAGTCCATGCCGCTCTGTCATTGCTTGTCCATATATGTATATATTCTTAAATTCCATTCCTTACTAGACTACTGAATTAAGTATATATTGTGAAATTGTTAGATATTACTTGTTAGATATTACTGCACTGTCGGAGGTAGAAGCACAAGCATTTCGCTACACCCGCAATAACATCTGCTAAACACGTGTATGTGACAAATAAAATTTGATTTGATTTGATTTTGACTCTAGGCTGTAATCGCTGCCAAAGGTGCTTCAACAAAGTACTGAGTAAAGGGTTTGAATACTAATATTTCTAAAAAACTATTTTTGCTTTGTCATTATGGGGTATTGTGTGTAGATTGATGATTGAAAAAATCAATTTAATCAATTTTAGAATAAGGCTGTAACGTAACAAGATGTGGAAAAAGTCAAGGGGTCTGAATGCTTTCCAAATGCACTGTATTTCCGTTGTTAGAGCAGTAGGGTTGCAAAATTCCAAGAACGTCCAATAAATTCCCTGGTTTCCCCGAAATCCTGGTTGGATGATACCTGGATATCAGGAGGAAATAAGCTGGAGATCCGGTACCCTCCAACCAGGATTTTTGGAAAACCAGGGAATTTATTGAAAGTTCCCTGAATTTTGCAACCCTATAGAGCGGTCACTCTCTATCACTGTTCTCCTCTCTCCAGTGGATTCTATCAGTGATGTGTACACAGTGAGCCAGCTCAAACTCAAAGCCCAGGAGAACCCAGAGGTGTTCTGTGGAATCACCTACAGCTTCGTCTCCAAACTGGATCTAGACGCCTCTGTCTCCAAAGTCATCAGAAGCAGGTGGTAAGTTTTTACAGTGGATACACGTCGACACATGATTATTGAATTCATCTGTATTTCTCAGCAAATCCCACATTTTCTGACTACACATTTCATCTCATTGAAACTTAACTACACTAGCACCATTTCTTTTTCCTGATTTACATATTGGTGCTGGTCTCCTCCCTGCTCAGTTCCAAATGCAGGTACCAGGTGAACGAGGAGATTCAGAGCTGCTCCAACACAGCCTGCCCTGGGGGAGACCAGCCTCTGACTGTGACCACAGGGTTTGATCTTCTGGTAGATGTGACAGACCACACAGGAACCCTGCAGTCCTGCTCCCTGAACGGCACTGTCGCAGAGAAGACTCTGGGCTGCAATGTGAGTGGAAATATAGTATATTATAAGTGGGCTTATCCTGGATTTGTGCAACTGCCCTAATATGTGACCATGGTTGACAGCTTCAAATAATGATGCCTGCCCTCTTTTGTTGCAGCCTGAGGAGTTTGTGAGTTTAACAGAGGATGAGCGAACGGCGATGAAATGGAAGATGCTCTTAGAAAGATGCAAAGTATATATCAAGGTATATAAAATCCATATGTCGTTGGTACTGACTAGCTTTAAAAAGTTTTGAATGAACCAGTCAGTGGCAGCCTTGTCAAGTATTCTTCTCAGAATTGTGAGCTGAGGAACTTAAAAAATGTCCTATCCCATTCTACTGTATCTTTCAGATCACTCCCTCTCCCAAAACCAGAAGTGGAATGAGAGGCAATGTCCTGCAGTGTTCCCTCGCTGATCCAGGAGAAGTGAAGCAGAACATGTCTGCCCTGCAGTAGTCTCGTTCACCAGCCATGTAGTTGTTTCCAAGTGTGGCGAGTCCTTCAGTAGCTTTCTCATATTAGATGGATAATGGTTGAGATGCACTTTTGATATGGCTTGTGGGTTCTGTAGCAAGGCCTAGATAGAATGTACACATTTCCCTTTTTTCCTATTTATTTCCCTTTATTTATTTGGTATTCTATATGTGCTGTAATGTACTTTTATTTCTGTGTATAGTGATATATATATATATATATATATAGTATAAAAATATTTTTGAAACCATTGCTTTATTCTCTGATGAGCTTGGAGGCCTGTCCAGTTTGTTGTGCAGATATACGAAATAACGATGAGACAAGATTCTGGAACAGTCATGTTTAATGCGAAGCATATTTTGTGGACAGATGCACATGACATAAAAGGTAGTAGCATTAATCGAGGATCTAACGCAATTATGCAAGATAGTTCTGCGTGTCCAAGATTAATACATTACAGTCAGATGCCTATCAGACTAGTTCTTGCGATTTCAAGGGGCCATGCTTGCCAGGCCTTGGATTCTCATTACAAGCATTGACAACGGTGCGGCCAATGTACGAAAGTCCTGACGCTCTGTCTACACATAAAAAATTGTCGCTTGCGATACGGTTTTGCAAACCTTTTGGAACATTAGTTTCCTATCTTCAATAAATCTTTTTTGGGGTGACAAGGCATCACTCTCCGGCTTGTTTATGGAAGAGAGAGGAGACCACATGTTCTAATTAGCTATCTAGCGTCTCTGAACACCTGTGTGTAACGGAAGGACGTCAGAAAAATGTAGTAACTGAAAATACTGTTGGCTGCAACTGTGTACAGTAAGTGTATATTTTGCATTTGTGCAATTATTTTGATGTGATATGAAAGTTAAGGACTTTATGTTTCTATAACCGAATCGCGATTGAGAATCAATTCACATTTAGATGGAGTATCATGCTGTTTTGGCTGCCAGAGACAGTTTACCTCTCTGAACATAAGCTCTTGTGGACAGCTGCACAAACAAATGGTAGTAGCATCTGACGACAGACTGTGGGATGTAACGACTAACGTGGAACTTTGTTCTGGTATGCAGATTTTTCATCACTGATAATTTGAACAAATCACGATTTCGCAGGTGCTCGCTTCTTACGAATTTCGGAAGGGGTGGGTATTTTTATTTTATTTATTTTATTTAACCTTTATTTAACCAGGAAGGGCTCATTGAGATTAAAATCTCTTTTTCAAGAGCGTCCTGGCCAAGATAGGCAGCACCAAGTCATTACAAAAAATTACAGACAGACAACATGAAAAACTACAAGTAATCTAGTAAAAACCATTCATGAATTCACAAGAGTATAACAATATCAAAAATAGCAAATTAAAAACATTGACAGGTCAGGGAATCAGCCTCAAAATCCTTCATCAGAGATTTAAAAACACCAATCGGGACAAGTTCTTCCAGTTTAAAATTATTTTGTAAGGTGTTCCAAGACGATGGCGCAGAGTACATAAAAGACCTTTTACCAAATTCAGTTCGGACATTTGGAACAGTTAGCAGGATAAAGTCCAGTGAACGAAGAGAGTACCCACCACATTTCTGAACAATAAAAATGCCCAAATAAAAAGGTAGTAAACCCAAAATGGCTTTGTAAATAAAAGTATACCAGTGACTGAGCCTACGAGTGACTAGAGAAGGCCAGCCAACCCTGGTATACAAAGTACAGTGGTGCGTAAGGGTTTTGCAGTTTAAAATAAATCTCAAAGTACAATGATAAAGAGTGTCAATTGATCTCAAACACTGAGCGGAAGCATTCATATATAAAATATCCCCATAGTCTAGTAAAGGCATAAATGTAGCTGATACTAGCCTCCTTCTGGCTTCAAAAGAAAAACAGGCCTTATTCCTAAAATAAAATCCCAATTTCAGCTTCAATTTTTTTGTAAGTTGTTGAATATGCAATTTAAAAGAGAGGCCGTCATCAATTAGAATTCCAAGATATTTATATGAGGTTACAACCTCAATCTCCTTGCCCTGACAGGTAGTAACAGGTGAAAGGTTCAGAGGTCTATTTCTTGCATTAGAAAACACCATTAGTTTAGTTTTGTCAGTATTGAGGATAAGCTTCAATTGACACAAGGTATGTTGAACAGTATAAAAAGCAGTTTGCAAGTTCTGGAAAGCTTTTGTAAGAGATGAGGCACAACAGTAAATAACAGTATCATCAGCATAAAAATGAAGTTGTGCATTTTGGACATTTTTGTCTAAATCATTAATATAAATAGTGAATAAGAGAGGACCAAGTACAGAGCCCTGGGGCACACCATTCAGGACAGACAATTTAACAGACATAAGCCCATCAAATTGAGTGCACTGAGTTCTATCAGACAGATAGTTAGCAAACCATGCAACTGCATGCTCCGAAAGACCTACACTCAACAATCTCTGCCTTAGTATAGCATGATCAACTGTATCAAAAGCCTTAGAGAGATCAATAAAAAGTGAGACACAGTGCTGTTTTTTGTCAAGGGCTTCAGTGATATCATTTAAAACCTTCATGGCTGCTGTAATTGTGCTATGCTTCTTCCTGAAGCCCGATTGATACATTGATAAAATAGAGTTAGTAAATAAAAACTATTTTAGCTGTTCACTTACAAGGGTTTCAAGTATTTTCACCAGGGGTGACAGCTTTGAGATTGGCCTATAATTATTTAAAAGAGTTGGATCTCCCCCTTTTAAAAGTGGTAGGACAAATGCTGACTTCCAGATCTTTGGAATTTCATTACATTCCAGGGTTAGATTGAACAGATATGTAAGTGGTTCAGCTATGAAATCAGCTGCCAGATTTAAAAAGCAGGGATCCAAAAGATCAGGACCTGCAGGCTTTCTTTGATCTAAGGATTTCAGGGCTTTATGTACCACCTGCACTGAGAATGGCAGAAAACTAAAAGTTTGACCAGCTCTCACTGGTTCATCCACACAGGGTTGTACAGAGACAGAGGACACTGGTTCATCCACACAGGGTTGTACAGAGACAGAGGACACTGAATCAAACAGCCTACCAGATGATACAAAGTGCTCATTGAAACAATTCAGCATTTCAGTTTTGTCATATATAGCAACAGAGTCCTTCAAAACACATGACGGTAATTCATTAACATTACTGTTACCAGACATAGACTTAATAGCATTCCAAAACTTTCTAGGGTCATTCAGGTTATCAGTGGTAACAGACATAAAATATTCAGACTTGGCCTTCCTGAGAAGAAAAGAACACTTGTTTCTTAACTGCCTAAAAATAAGCCAATCAGCATCAGAACAAGATTTCCTTGCTTTAGCCCAGGCTAGATTACGGTCGTGAATAATACAAGACAGCTCAGAAGAAAACCATGGATTATCCCGCCCTTTAACCCTGAACCTGCGGAATGGTGCATGTTTGTTTACTATTTGGAAAAAACCATCATGAAAGAATATCCAGGCAGTTTCCACATCAGGGATAAGCTCAATCTTGCTCCAGTCAAAATAAAACAAATCATGAAAGAAAGCCTGCTCATTAAAACACTTCAAATTTCTCTTACGAATAAAACGTGGATTTGTCTTTGGAACCTTAGTATTTCTAACAGCAACAACAGCACAATGGTCACTTAAATCATTACAAAAAACACCAACCGCAGAATATTTATGTGGAACATTTGTCAATATCAAATCAATCAGGGTAGATTTATCAGGGCATTTAAGATTTGGGCGAGTGGGTGAATTAATCAACTGGGTAAGATTCATAGAATTACAAAACATTTTTAAATCATCAGACACCGGCTTTAACCAACACCAGTTGAGATCACCAATCAAGATCATTTCACTGTAAAGAAGTTTAGACATAAGGTGCGTCAAAGAAGAAAATGCATCACCAAGAGCAGAGGGGGGTCTATAACAGCCAATCACAGTTATAGAGAGGCCCTTTGAAACCTCAATATTCAAAGCAAGAAATTCCAACTGTTTACAAATAGTTTCAGACTTTGCCACACTTACATGGAATTTAGATTTTACATATATAGCCACACCCCCACCTTTCTTAACCCGATCTGCACGATAAACATTGTAACCACTTATACAAATATCCTTATCAAAAATAGACTTGCTGAGCCAGGTTTCCGAAAACACAATTACATCAGCATCAGTTGATTTAGCCCAAATCCTAACCCCATCAATTTTTGACAACAGGCTGCGTACATTTAAATGAAAAATACCAAAACCAGATCTTGATTTAAAATCAGAGGGGGTTTGGAGACATTGCATATCAGGGCCAGGGTTAGGTTGCACGTTACCTGATATCAACAACAGAAGAATAACTAGGCACCTCTGTTTAATAACCTTGCACGGCTTCTCTTTTTTAAGAGACCTACTGCAAGCGAATTCTACAAGTGAGTTTCCAGACAATACAAAACAGTCATTTAAAACCATTAGACTTTGGTAGTGACACAAATTCGTACTGTTCACATCATGCCACAAATGCATCGGCACTTGGACGAGTGGACCGAGTGAAAAAGAGCGAGTTCCTGCAGACAAAATGTCTAATGGACGCGAGAGTACATTGTCAGATGTACTCACCCTGCGACAATGTTCGTTTTCTCCAGAGTTCAATAAAGTCAGTGCACAAAGCAATACCACGTAAATTGTCATTTTCTCTGACCAAAAAACAAGAGGCCAACGAAGGTAAGTGGAGAGAGGGACAGCGTGTATGTGAGTCAATGTGAGTGTTTGCGCGTGTGAGTAGATTGGGTGTTGAGGGCGATAGAGAGAACGGGTTGAGCTGCCACTGACAGCCAGGCGAAGAGCAAGGAGCAGCTCGGACAAGACACTCCGCGGACTAACGAGGAACTCAGGCCAGCCAGAGATAGGGTTACTTTGGTAAACTTCAAGTAATGAAGTTCCGAGTTGAGGAGGACCCGTGATCTTTACACCAGCAAAAATAAAATAGTTTGCACTACGCAACAACGAAGTTACGCA